GCAGAGCAAAAAAAGTCATGGGGATGGAGTCCAGACAACTCTTTCAAGGAGTTTAACTGAAGAAGGGAACAGAGAACTGGAGAGCAGCTGGAGGGGGTGTAAGGTCAGGAGAGGGAGCTACGGCGGCAGCAGTATTCCCGAGCACCCCGTTTTCCTTTTTGAAGCAGTGCTGCTAAATGAAGGCGCCACCAGGGCCTTGTCATTGGAAAGAAATGTCCTTTTCCTGGGCATGTGTTTTGTCAACATGACATCCCGCCCACCTGCGTATTGGTTCAATGTTTCTATTTTGTTGGAAGATGGAAGGCTCTGATATTGTTCATTTGGGTTCTTCTTGGCTGATACCCCGACAAGCCCCTGAAAACTCCCGAGATCACTGGGCGCAGGTCCCTCCCTGACCGACCTTCTCGGCCCCGGCCCCGTGGATTCCTCCACTGTGGTGAATTGCAGAGGTCTGGATGTGGCATTTGGCAGCCACACAGAAAGTTCCAGAAAGGAAGGGGCTGTGCCAGGCCCTGTCAACTCTTTCATTCCCCCAAAACACCCCTCATGAGCTCCAGGGGAGAGGAAGGACCCTGTGAGTACCTAGTTATCTCACCAGGCAACAAGAACCCCAGAGCCAAGGTGCTGGCTGGGACCAGGTTTTCTGCCTCTCACACAGCTTGAGAGCTGTGGGCCAACCAGCCCTGCCCTGGGGCCAGCAGGGAAAGGCCCAAAAGGCCAAGGACAGGTGGAGTGAGCCAGACACTGGGCTCCAGATTCTCCCGAAACATCTGTAGGTTCTTGGGAGACTTAAGGCTTTCTGCTGCCATGATTGATGTTCCGGAACCTCACCTTCAGCCCCAGATGGTCTACACTGGGCCTGGGTAGGCCCTGGGAGCATGTCGTCTTCTTACAGACAGAGCCTCTGCGCGCGCGTGCGTGCACACACACACACACACACACACACACACACAAAGTTATACACCAATAAGAATATAGACACAATGACCTACATACACACACGTGGTTACACTCTACCACACACATCAATAGACACTCATACTCATGTGCAGACACATATGTAGACAACCCACATGCAGACTCACACTCATACACATATGAGCACATTAACATATATATAAAAAGATACCGACATGTTGACACACTACGCAGAGACTCCCTGAAGCCTGTGCACGGGCGCGAGCGCACACACACACACACACACACTTTGAGAATACACAGTCACGGATGTGCTGATATACTGACAAAATTATACAAATGTGTCGCCATGACACACGCTAACAACAGAGCACATGCAGTCATCTACAGAGACTCACACGCCGACACAAATACCTTGACATATAGGGACACACTGACACAACAGACAGACACTCTGAAGCACACCTACACATGAGACACCTGCATGCGCACACCACACACACACCCTGGCCCACACACTCACACACATTCCAACAAGCCCTGAGGGTCTCCAGGGCTCCCCTGCAGCTGTTGCTTACTCCCCAAGGGAGGCGATGTCCCCGAGGGAACAGAGGTCTCCGGTCCCGTCTTAAGTTCTACTGGCTCCTGCATGACATCAACAGCCCCCTCGCTGCTGCTGGGAGTTTCGAGCTGGGTCCAGGCCTGCGCCAGGCACAGACACTTGGGCCCTTGTTGGGAGAACAGAGAGAGGCTCTCTTGTCCACTGCCCGTCCTCCGGCTCCAACTGCTGGTTCTGTCAGCAGCCTCTCCTCAGGCCGTTGCAGGTACGTGGGGCTGGGAGGCCAGGGCCTGGCGGAGGGGCGGTCAGGGTCAGCACAGGAGGGTGTGGCAGGCAGTGTTACGGGCTGTCTGCAGGAGCACAGGCTAAGGGCCCCAGGCTGCACTCCCTATTGTGCAGTTCTGCGGCTCACTTTCTCTCAGGGCTCCCCACGGCTGGGACTCTCCAAGCAGCCTGGGCTGGGGAACTCCCTCCCCCTGTGGTTATTTTCTCAGCCCTCAAGAAGGCCATGGGGTGGTGCCTCCAGGTGCCCCTTTGTAAAGATAGGCAGTCTCTACCCTGAGAGGCCAGGCTATAGTCCAGGCCCCATGGAAGGCCAAGGCTGTCGTCTTGGGATGCCCTGTATGCAGCAGTCCCCAAAAGCAACTGGGCTGTCAGGTGAGATCTCAGCTATTAGCATTGACCTTCCAAGCAGGGGTGGGGTTGTGGGACCCTGGGCCCGGTGCCTAGAGATGCCAGCCTCCTCCCCACTGCAGGGTGGGGGCAGGAAAGACACTGCGCTCCTGGCTGCATAGACCAGCTGGTCTGTTTGATCTCAACAGACACTTAGGTCTCTCCGTGGCTCTGGTTCAAGGTCCCCCAGAGCAGCTGCCCTTTTGGGGGCATTAGGTGGAAGTCCTTGTGGCAGGGAGATAATAACGCAGAGGTCAGCCTGGGGCTGTCCACAGGGTTGCAACTTCCATGCTTGTGTGGGAGTCTGGGGAGCCCAGCCTGCCTCTCATAAACTGTGTGATCCTAGGCAAGTCCCTTTCCAGGCCTCAGGCTCCCTACCTTTGAAATGGGGGGAAGGGTTCAGACTTTATGCTTCCAGCCCTAGCCATCTTGGACTTCTGGAGCTGCCCTGGCTCACAAGGATCTTGCCTTTGAAAAGACAGCCCAAGAGGGGCCACCCCTGCCATCCTCCCTCCTTCCCTCCTGAGATGTTTGATTAGAGAGGCTGGGTCCAGGGGGCATCATCATGCAGGGGTTGCTGGCCTCTGGGGTAGGAAAAGCTCAGGGTGTAGCCGGTGCATGGATGGCATTGGGGGAGGGTGGCAAGGGCAGTAGTGAATGAAGCCCTAGACAGGTGAAGCCTCCCCAACCAGCTCTCTCATGCCTGTTTCTCCTTGTGCTCCCCAGTGCCCATCCGATCACTGGTACAGAATGGACTCCAGCCATAGCCTGGCCAGGACCCCCAGTCCACAGGTGAGTGGGTCCTGGTTCCCCCACCCACTTCCAGGGGGTGCTCACTTCCTCCCACGCCAAGGAAATCTAAAGAAGCATGCACCAGCCCGGTGGGCCAACCCAGACATGGCTGGGGGACTGACAGGGGTCACTGTCAGCTCGCAGAAGTAGGCCGTTGGCAGGGTAAATTAGTCTTGGGCAAAGGCTTCAGAAAGTAAATGGGGGTGAGGGGCGAGGCAAATCATGGGCTTGGTCCCGAGAATACCTGAGCTCTGATTCCCGTGGAGTTGTCTGTAAGTCCTCGGACGGCTCTTCTCTGGGTCTCGGTTTCCTCACCCTCATGATTGGCATCACGGCCTGCAGCCTCCCAAGGCTGTTGAGAGGAGCAGATGAGATGGTGAGTATGTGGTGGGTAGAGGGGAGGAAGGAAGGACGGAAGGAAGGAAGGAAGGAAGGAAGGAAGGAAGGAAGGAAGGAAGGAAGGAAGGAAGGAAGGAAGGAAGGAAGAGACAGGCTCAACGAGGTGAATGTGATTTTGGGTTACAGAGAGAGAGAGACAGACAGACAGACAGACAGAGACATGGAAGAGGGCAGGAGGGAGGGAGGGAAGGAGGGAAGGAAGGAAGGAAGGAAGGAAGGAAGGAAGGAAGGAAGGAAGAGACAGCCTCATAGAGGTGTTAGAGAAGAGATCAAGGCCTGGGCCAGAGGAAAGGGATGGGGCCAAGGAGTAAGGACCTGCTGATCTTAATCACCTCTTTCTGTAAATATCTTTAGCTCTCAAGAGCCAATGGGAACATCAACTTGGGGCCTTCAGCCAATCCAAAGTGAGTTCTGGTCTCTCAAGCAATTTTCTTCCTTGGCTCTCCTCATACTTGGCCTTGAGAATAAAATCCAAGTTCTCAGGTCTAGCTTCAAGACCGCCTGCCATCTGGGCCCAGGACTATCCCCCAACTTTATCTCTCGCTCAGTCCCCAGCCTTCGCCCATGCCAAGGCCAGTGCCTGGAATGCCCCAAAAGTCTTCATCGTCCACAGCTCTGTACCCTTCAGGCCCTTCTCAGGCTTTGCAGCCAGATCCTTTGCCTTCTGTGTAGTCCTGTCTGGTTTTCTCCCCACCTTGCCTGTTGTTTACTCAATTGTGAGCTCTCCAGGGCCAGGGGCCAATCTTACAAGCCCCCTCTTGGCTGGGAGAACATGGCATTCCTCAACGGTGAGGAGATTGATTTTTGGAAAGCTTTCTGTATTCCCCACCTTCAAAATGAAAAGGAATCCTGGATTTGATCTCGGGACCAGGTTTCCCAAGACTGCAAATGCTGACCTTGTTCCTCCCTCTTCCCCCAGTGCCCGGCCCACAGACTTCGACTTCCTCAAAGTCATTGGCAAAGGGAACTATGGGAAGGTGAGTGACAGACACAGTGAGGTTGGGAGACCCGGTCTCCCCTTCTCCAGCCTCCTCCATCCCCTGCTTGTCGCTTGCCTGTGCAAAGAGGGAGCTCTCGACCTGCAGAATCGTGGACGCAGAGGAGAGCTGGGGGCCATCAGGGGAGTCGTCACCTGCGGGGCCTTGCATTTGTGCTTCCCCTCAGGTGCTGCTGGCCAAGCGCAAGTCCGACGGGACGTTCTACGCAGTGAAAGTGCTGCAGAAAAAATCCATCTTGAAGAAGAAAGAGGTAGCAGAGCTTGCGCACAGGCATTTCCTCCCCTGCTCCTTGACTCCCAGCCTAGAGTGGCTTCTCAAGATGGGCCCAACTATTGAGTCCATGGGCTGGATGCAGAGGGGGGTCACAGCAGGTGGTTAGGTGGTGCCCGGGATGCCGACCTTCTGAGGAAGGCAGGCCAACCTCACCCACGGGGCCTTTAGAAGGACCCAGCCCCAGCCCTCAGCCTTCCCCTGGGAAATTCAGGGCCCCATGGTGGACAAGTCCTCTGCCTTGCCTAGGTGCCAGCCTCCCCATCTGCGCAGGGTGGGGTCACACTTTATACTCTCCAAAGACCCTTCAAGCTGTGGCCATCCTGAAGTTCTAGATGCCTCAGCTGATTTGAGCCTCTTGAACTCCAGTCCCATTAGGAGGCCAGAGCAGGCCTGGAGAGAGGATTGAAAATCAGGTCAGAGGACTCAGGCAAGGGAATTCTGTTAATAAGGACATCGTCGGGGTGGGTAGGCAGGTCTTCCTGAGGGAAGTGTCCTTGCAGCTAGCCTTGAAGGTAGAATTCCAGTAATCTAAAAAGGGGGTGACCAGGCAGGAGAAACGGCATGAACAGAGGCGTGACTGTGGACTCATTTATGCAGTACTCATATCTACTCTGCTTATCACTGGGGGTATGGGGTACAGGGACTTCCGATCCAGGGGCTGGAGCTGCACCTGCGTGGACTGGTGGGGGATGAGGCTAACTACGCATAACCCTGAATACTAGGCAAGGAGCTGGGCCTGGCTCTGAGGGCAATAAGGAGCCACAGTGGGTGTTTGAGGAGGGGCACGAGAAGGTCTGGGGCAGGTCAGCCCCCGCAGCGAGGCCCCGTGGGCTGTGACACGCGCCCCTGTCTGTGTGACTCCACAGCAGAGCCACATAATGGCAGAGCGCAATGTGCTTCTGAAGAACGTGCGGCACCCCTTCCTCGTGGGCCTGCGCTACTCCTTCCAGACGCCTGAGAAGCTCTACTTCGTGCTGGACTATGTCAATGGGGGAGAGGTGAGTGGGCCTGCACGGAGCCCCCCAGGCCGGCTGTTAGCTGGGAGCTGCCCATCCCACATGCCTGCTGTATACTGGGTCTGGACTGACTGCACCTCGTCCTTACAACAGACCCTTTTTGTAGTGGAAGAAACTGAGCCTCAGGAGCTAACTCACTTGCTCAAGGCCACCCAGCTGGTACCCTGGCTGGAAGTGATCACAGTGGTAAATAGAGACCTGAAGCCACCTGGTGACTCAGGAGCACAGCTAGATAAGCCCAGTTCCCTCCAGGACATCACTCTGTGTCTCTGGGCAAGTGGCAAAACTTAGTGGGGCCCCCTCAGTGACTCTAGATTTAATCTCTGTGACCTTATGCCTTTTGGCCTGATGCTGAGGGGAGAATTTTTGTCCTGCATCCCTAAGTCCCTTCATGGAGGTGAAGATTTTCACATATCAGCAAAAAAGACCAAAGCAATTGTCTCATGGGCAGATCTGACCTGAGCTCAGTTTGATTCAGCCATAAGAATCTTATCACCTAGATTGGAGGAAAAACACATCTTTGAACCACCCAGTTTCAAATCCTGGTTCTGCCAGTTGCGTGCTCTGTGACCTTGGCAAGTCACCTGATGGCTCTGGCCCCTCCCAGTTTCCTCTTAGGTGACACTGGCATCATATTTGATACCTTGAAGGTAGTCATGAGGATCAAACGAGATACGATATGTGAAAGATTCTGGTTTAGAGCCTGGAACACAGGTGCTCAATCCATGCTGCTTAACCTCTCCCGCTGACCCTTTGGATGCCCATGACTGCGCTGCGGGGAGGGGGCCGGCATGCCCTTTGTCACCTGAGTACCTTGCAGCTCGGAGAGGGGAAGACTTGGCCAGCTGCCCCCCACCCTGCGCCCTGGGAGCTGGAGTTCCCCCAGGAAACCCTCTTACGTGCCTACCCCTCTCCAGCTCTTCTTCCACCTGCAGCGGGAGCGCCGGTTCCTGGAGCCCCGGGCCCGGTTCTACGCTGCCGAGGTGGCCAGCGCCATCGGCTACCTGCACTCCCTCAACATCATCTACAGGTGAGGCCTGCCTGTGGCTCGGAGCCAGGCCCAGCCTCCTGCCCCAACAGTCAGGGGTTGCGTGGGTCCCTAGATCGTGATGAAATCCCCATGAACTTGGTCCTTTTTCTGAGAAGAGCCCACCAGTGGAGTAGGGGGGGAGCCTCTTTTTTTCCAGGATCAAGTGCCTGTCCTCCCTGGGCTCTCCCTTGACATCTGTGCGCCTGCATGAATAGTCCTCCCTCCAGGACCCCAGGTCTCCAGCTCTCCTCGCTGAGTGGCTGAGCCATCAGAGTGCACCCTTCTCTTGTTTTCTGCAGGGACCTGAAACCAGAGAATATTCTCTTGGACTGCCAGGTGTGTGTGTGTGTGTGTGTGTGTGTGTGTGCGCGCGCGCGTGCGCGCGCGTGCGCACACGCACATGCACGCTCACCCATTTATGCACGCATGCACAAGTAAACCAGAGAATATTCTCTTGGACTGCCAGGTGTGTGTGTGTGTGTGTGTGTGTGTGTGTGTGTGTGTGTGTGTAGTTGCACATGTGTGCTGTGTACCCACAAGTATGTGTGTATGGGTATGCATGCATTGTGCATACATACATATGGATAGGGATGCATTCAAATAAGTGTGTGCATATGTGCTCATACATGTGTACATGCATACATGTGTTCATCCTGTGCACATGAGACCATGTGCATGCGTACATGCATGTGCATGAGTATGTACATGCCTCTGGGGGAGGCAGGGGTGGAGCCAGGTGGAGGCTCATGGATTTTGTCGTCTCCCCAAGTCTTAGACTGGGTTTGCTGGAAACAGACGCTGAGATGAAGCACCGGGAGCAGAAGGTTACTGGGGAACGCTCTCAGGAGATCTACCTTTAAGGGGGTGAGGAGGCAGGATTGGGCAGAGAAGGACACTCACCTGCACTGTGGTTGCAAGCGAGATCAGCTGATCTTACAGGGGTCCAGAGGGCCTGAGCTGGGATAGCTCTGTTCCAAATTGAAGCACAGAGGCTGGGCATTTGAGTCCCTGCACCAATCAGTCATTGCCCCTTGGGTGGGGCATAACTTTGGGTGAGGGCAGTGTCCCAGTGGCAGGATGGGCATGACAGCTCCTAAGGAGGGGATCTGGGCAGAGCTCTGCAGTTCCACTCACTCTATAACCTCCACCAGCCATCTTCCTGCCCAGCTGCCACAAGATGTGGCTGCTTTCTGGGTCCCAAGCCTTTTGTTAAGGGGGCTGCTGCCACTGGCCCCTCCAGCAGGGACATTCTGGAGCTGCTGCTGTTATAGGGCATGGGCCCTAGTCAGTGGTGAGCTGGGCAGACACTGGATGCCATCTTTCCACCTTGCCCCTGTGTTGCCCCCAGCATCCAGTCTCTGAGTGAAACCTCCAGCCTGTGCCAGGGGCATCAGACCCCATAACCAGCTGCTTTGGGACGTGGTATCTGGGCTTTGGAGTTAGGGCTGTCCATACCTTTATCTCAGGCCACCCTCTTGCCTCTGCCTTCCCTCCTCCACAGGGACATGTGGTATTGACGGATTTTGGCCTCTGCAAGGAAGGTGTGGAGCCAGAGGACACCACATCCACATTCTGTGGCACTCCCGAGGTGAGCTAGACCTTCTAGGAGAGGGCCGGCCATTAGGGGGTGAGGCCGCAGCTCCTGATTAGAGCCAACAGGTTACATCTGAGGGGCTCCCCGCTTCCACCAAGCACTTCCCTGAGCTGCCTGTGCATGCAGCCTTGGTTTGCTTCTCTATATAATGGGGGCACCGGCTCTAGGGGCTGCTGGGACCTGGCCAGCTGTTGGTGACTTTGCCACAGTGATGTCCAATAGAAACAGAAACATTAATGCAAACCATGTATGTCATTGAAAAATTTCCAGAAACCACATTTAAAAAGTAAACAGAAACAGGTGAAATTAATTTTAATGATATATGTTCATTAACCTAATATATAGAAAATATTGTCGTTTCAATATATAATCAACATAAAATTGTTGAGATTTTTTTTCTAAGTCTTTGAAATCGGTGTGTATTTTACACTTACGGTCTGTCTCAGCTCAGATCAGCCACATTTCAAGTGTTTAGTGGCCACATGTGGCCAGTGGCTGCTTTATTGGACAGCAGTGCCCTACAGAGTGAAATTCAAGTGCAACAGGAGGGCCTGGTCTGACAGTTAAGTGTGAAACACTGGTCTTCTGACCTCCTCCAGCCACCAAGAGCCCGGAGAGTTAAAATTCGTGGGTCTTAGAAGTAACTCATACACGTCTGTCCTGCCAAGGCCTCCCTGCAGCCTTGGGTTCAAACTTTTCCTTGAACTCTCACCGGTGTTGACCCTTGGATCTTGGACTCGAAGAGGTTCTCAGATGCTTGGACACATCCAGTGGGGGACGGGGGCTGAGGCTGCAGGACTGGAAAGCCCCTCCTGATCTGGCATGGGGCAGGACTTCAGCTGCTTTGTTTTTCTCCCTAGGCTTGAAAATCTGGGTTTCAGATCTCAGCTGAGCCTCCTCAATTTGGTTTTAGGGTAGCTGATGGACAGATGACATCTCTGAGCAGGAGCCATTGTCTGCGTTTGTGTGAGGCAGGGTGTCCGCTAGGCAGAGCTGGCTTCCCAATGCCTGATAGCCCAGCCATCCCTTCCTTGGACATTGCCAGGGACAGGGAACAGGGGATACAGCACCTTGGCTCATGTAGGAGACATGTGGCCCCAACATGTCATCTCTTCCATAATCTTTTCCTCCAAGTGCCTTGTTCACAAATGGGGAAACTGAGGCTGAGAGTCTTTCAGATATATGTGTTTTCTCTCAACAGTACTTGGCTCCAGAAATGCTTCGTAAAGAGCCTTATGATCGGGCAGTGGACTGGTGGTGTTTGGGGGCTGTTCTCTACGAGATGCTGCATGGCCTGGTGAGTGGGGTATAGCTGTCTGCAACGGACATCTGGCTCTGGGGAGAGATGGGAGTGGGTCTCTCCCTTGTGTCGCCTGCCCAGGCTCCTCAAGGAACTGAACGAGCCACCTCTCCACTCTAGGCTAAAAAAGATAATGCCAGAGTGAATACAAAGATTATACATTTTTTTCCAATAATGTCAGTTCAGTACTTTATAATACACCAACTCCTATGTTACTCCTTTGGTGTCTCAGAGGAGCCTCGGGAGACTAACTGCAGGAAATGGATTTGCTTTTATTTTACTGAAAGGAAGACAGGTCCAGAAAGGGCACAGTGCTGGTCGGTTGTGGAATGACTGGGCCCTGGACCCAATCCTAGGCCACCTGCTTAGATGGAGTCATGTGTAGACTCGCCCCAGGCCAGGCTTCACTCTGGGGTGGCTTCACCAAGAGAGCTTAGTGGATATGAAGGAACGGGCTCTGTGGAGTCTGCGGAAGGAAGAACATCAGGAAAGATGGACTCTGCATACGGTTTGGGGCCTGATTCTCTTCCAAGTTTTGTGACAGGCTTAATCTCTCTGAACCTTTTCCTCTTATTGGAAAAAGTACTCTCTCAAGGCATGGTTGTAAGGCCGGGATGAAATGATGACGGGGAAAGTGCTGACTGTGGTGCATATGCCGGATTGAGAGGCGGGATAGGAGACGTTCCTGGCAGGTTCACAAGCTTCACCAATAGGGAGACTCCTCGGCCTTCCCAGCAGCCTCCCACTGTGCTGGGAGCCCAGAGGTTTCTGTCTCTCTCCAAACTGCCATGCGAGCCATTGCACAAAACACGGGTCTGGCTGAATCCTTCCAGCTACCCAGCTTTGCTCCATCCAAATCTTCCTGAGACCTGTGCCCACTTGAGCTTGGATGATCCCCCAGCTCTCTCCCTCTCTCACCAGCCGCCCTTCTACAGCCAAGACATATCCCAGATGTATGAGAACATTCTGCACCAGCCGCTGCAGATCCCCGGGGGTCGGACGGTGGCCGCCTGTGACCTCCTGCAAGCCCTTCTCCACAAGGACCAGAGGCAGCGACTGGGCTCCAAAGAAGACTTTGTAGGTGACCTGGCAGTGGAGCACTGGCCCTTTGGGGAGCTCTCAGGTTCCTGCAGAGGCAGCTCAGAAGCACAGTGACACGTATCCAGCTGTCCTGTAAAACCAAGCACCGCTAATTTGTTCATTAGGCAATTCACAGCATTTGCCTACCCATCCCTGGCCAGCTTAATGAACAGGGCTTTCACTGAAGACTGGTCCCCTCCTTCCAGGTGAAATCTGCATCCTAAAAAATAAGTATGATTTTAAAAATAAGATATACATTCACACAGATCAAAATCCAAGTGATATTCAGAAAAAGTCCCTCTAGCCACTCAGTTCCTTAATTTAGAAGCAACCGGTGTCATCAGTTTCTCGGATATTCTGGAGATATTCTGCATCTGGCTTTTTAACAAGCCCCAGGAGGTGGTGTTCTGATATAGGGAGCCGGAAACTCATTCTTTGAGAAACAGATAGGAAGAAGGTCCTGCTGGGACAGGAGGAAGTTGGTGCCAAGATTGATTTGAAGAAGTAGTGAAACGTGCCCAGGGCTAAGTTCTAAATTCTGAGTCTCTGGGAACCTGCAGCTCTTCTTGGAGCTTTACTTCCCAAACCTTCCTTAATGAGTTCATTTGGTCTGTTTCTCTGGTTTGCGTTCTGGAAGAGTCGAGAGGCAGAGTGGGGCAGGGTCCCCAGGGTCCTTCCAGGACCACGAGGGCAGGTTCTTCCTTCTTGTTCAGTGACATACCTCCAAAGCCTACTACGGTGCTGACACAGAGTAAGTGCTTAGAAAATAGTTGTAGAATAAACAAATGCTATCGGGGAGAAGGATTTGGGTTGTGGATGATGGCGAAGGGGAGAGGCCTGGCTGCGGAATACTCTTTTGTCCTAGGAACCAGCTGGAAGTGCAAGTTACTTACCCAGTAAAGGTTTCAGGGATTGCCAGCCGCTTGCCAGTAGAGTTGGAGGTCCAGGCCATGTGGGGGTGGGGTGGCAGTGCCTATGAGGAGGGCTGCTTGTGATCAGCACTTTCTTCCTGTAGCTCGAGATAAAGAACCATGTATTCTTCAGCCCCATAAACTGGGATGACTTGTACCACAAGAGGCTGACTCCACCCTTCAACCCAAATGTGGTAAGAAGAGGTCACCACATTTTGGATTCTGGGTTCCTAGGTCTGGTGGGAATTTGGAGGGTATCTGGGCCAACTCTCTGTAGATGGGAAAACCAGGAGTCCAAGAGGCTCCACGATTTGTCCAAGGCCACGCAGTAAGTTAGAGGCAGAATTGAGTCTAGAACCCAGATGTTCTGACTGCCAGTTCAGTTCTGTGATGAGCCACGCTTCTGCTCCTTTGTTTTAGCACCAATAACCCTTATCGTATAGCCCTTTACAGTTTTTAAAGTACTCTGTGTTACATAGCATACCCAGACAGAGCCAAGTGCTATAAAGGTGTTTTTTTTTCCTTACGGTTAGCTTTTTTCCTGATAATAAAAATGACGTATTCATTGTAGAAAGTGTGTGAAACAGAAGTGTAAAGCAGAAGGGAGAAAAGACTTATTATTTCACTACCCAAGAGAAACCATAGCTGCCATGTTTCCTTCCAGTCTTTTTTCAATGTGGTTTTTATACAGGTGATACTTTATATGGACAGATACTCCTCCCCCTCCTTTTTTTTTTTTTTTTTTGCTAAAAACTTAACCATTATTTCCCAAAGCTCCATAAAACTTTATAAGTATCATTTTACTATTTCAACTCTATGCTGGTGACATAATTTATTTGTCTATGCTCATGGTGAACTTTAGGTTATTATCATTTTTTTCTTTATCATAACGTACTGATGAACTCCTTCAAGCATCTATCGTCTTTGCCCAGAGTTCTGATTTTTTTCCTTGAGATGGATTCCATATGGGGAATTAGCAGGTCAAAAAATGTGAACGTTTTTAGGATCTTGGTTCATACTTGATTTATATGGCCTTCACTGTGCGTTAGGGAATACGATCTACTTCCGACCAGTAGCACATTCTGGAGAATTCTCATCTTCCTCTCTGTGGCACGTGTGCTGGTGTTTTTTGCTTTGCAAATTTGTTAAGTAAAAAATGGCCTCTCATATTATTTTAATTTATATTTCTTTGATTTATAGTGAAGGTGGTTAGTTTTTAAATGTTAATTAGCAGTGATAGTATGAATGAAAGGAATCCCATTCGAGGTGGATATTGGAGGTTCTCTTGGCCACCTGGAATGTGTCAAGCAGAGTCAGGTTCGCTCCATCCAAGCACTCTGCACACTTCAACACTACATCTTGCTATTTCCATCTTTCCTTTGGTGAATTACTTGTTCATGAACATGTCTTTGAGCACCAGATTCTTGACATCAGTTGTCAGATAGAATACACTCAGTCCAGGCACCTGAAAATTTTCTTTATCTGAGGATTTTATAAGAGACCTTTTGGATCATATGAACATATATCCTGGAGAGAGAATAATAAACAAAAATACTAGACAGGGAGGTAATGGAATACAATGCATGGACCCCAGAATGAGACGAACTAGGGGTGGATTCCTGGTTCTGCCACCTGCCACATGTGAGACCTTGAGTAAGTTTGAATAGCATCAAAATCTTCATTTTTAAAAGGAGAAAGAGAGAGAGAGAAAGAAAGAAAGAGGGAGGGAGGGAGGGAGGATGGAAGGAAGGAAGGAAGGAAGGAAGGAAGGAAGGAAGGAAGGAAGAAAGGAAGGAAGGAAGGAAGGAAAAGAAAGTTACCTGCCTTGTCTAGAGCCACACAGGTAACAGGGCCAGGGCCAGGATTCACATTCTGGTCTTGGAACTCTGAGCCCTGAGGTCTTTTTAAGAAGCTGCAAGCCATGGTCTATTCGGTCCCACAACCTAAAGGCTTGCATACTAAATCAGATCTGCAGACCCTTCCATTTGCTCATTTGCTTACTTCATAAAACCCAGGCGGCCCCTTTTTCACAGATCGTGCCTCCTCCATGGAGAGGTTTTATCAGTTAGCTCTTGCTGCATGACAAGCCACCCTCAAACTAGGCGGCTTATTTCATTCTGATTCTGTGGGTCAGTTTAGCGGGTTTTTTTGGCCTGAGCTCTGCTGGGCTCTCTCATTTCAGTGGTTAGCTAGCAGGGCAGTGGGCAGTTATGATCTAGAATTGCCTCACTCATATGCCAGCCAGTTGGCAGGCAGCTAGGACAACTGGGTTCTCCTTTGTGAAGCCGCCCCTTGTGCTCCAGCAGGCCGGCCTGGGCTGGTTCACGTGGTGGCCTGAGGGTTCCAAGTGCGGGAAGAGAGAACAACTCCCCATGTGCATTTTTCAAGCCTCTGATTGCATCGCATTTGGTAATGTCCCATTGGCTTAAGCAAGTCACACGGCTAACTCATATTAAAGGAATGGAAAAATAGACTCCACCTCTGGATGGGAATGGAGAATTTGTTACCATTTTTATAATCTCCCACACAGATCGTCCTCCAAAACATCTAAAGCAGCCCAGTCACTCTCTACCATGTTACACTATTTTCTTTTTCATAAGACCTATCAACACCCTGAATTATCTATTTGTCTATTTGTATACATGCTTGTTATCAATCCTACTCCCTGCATAATATAAGCTCCATGAAAGCAAGGGCCCACTCTATTTTGTTCTTCTGTATTCTCAGTGCCATGAATAGTGCCTGGTAGGCATTTGGTAAGTATGTTGACTAGACTTGTCTGAGGGTTGGTGTGGAGCAGGGTGCCAAGGAGTTAGAAGAATTGATATGTGGTTATTGGATCTCGCGGAATAAAATAATAGGTAAGTGACTCAGAGGGGAGACCCAACATTTCCCTCAGGGCTTGGGGGTTCTTTTGGCAGCTCTGGCCCCAGGCTTCCCTTTTCATCATTGGCTTATATTCACAGGCAGGACCTGCCGACTTGAAACACTTTGACCCAGAGTTCACCCGAGAATCCGTGTCAAAGTCCATTGGTTGCACTCCTGATACTGTGGCCAGCAGCTCTGGGGCCTCAAGTGCATTCCTGGGATTTTCCTATGTGCCGGAGGATGATGCTGTCTTAGATTGCTAGAAGCGCCTGTGAACCCACGGAAAGCTGGTATCTGTAAGGAATTACTTTCAGCTGCTAGGAATAGAGACTCGAAGTAACAATGGCTTAAATAAGATTATTTTTTTCCCAGCCCATAAAGAATGGTGTTAGGTGATCCAAGGCTGGTCTGACAGGTCAGCAGATTCGCAGAGGCTTTCTGTATTCTGCTCTGTCATCCTTGGCAAATGGCTTCAATATTAGTTGCTACATTATCATAAGGTGGTTACTGGAACTCTAGGCACTACTTTTGTGTTCTGCGCAGGAAAAAAAAAAAAGAGGAAAGGAGATAGGAGCTAAAGGACACTTTTACAAGTTTCCCAGAAGCCCCACCTCATGACTTATGCTCATTAGCCGCACACCCCTCCCTGTAATGGAGGCCGGGTACGTGACTTATCAGCTGGCACATTGCTACGCCTAGTCACACAGGTGTTCTGACACTAAGAGAGAAACGGAAAATGTTAGGTAGGCAACCAGGGGTCCTCTTGGTATTTGGATTTTGATCTCGAAGTGTTAAAATGACAAGAGATGTGACAAGCTTATATGTATGACCCAACGTCCTCTTATTTTTCTGTTTGATGGTATCTTTCTTTGTCGTGGGTGGTATTAGACATTCGTTATTAGGTTTGTCTGCCTGGCATCTGAACCCCTTCTATGTTCAGGGAACCTCCAGGTTTATGAGCCTGGATGAGGGCCAAAAACTACAACTTACAGTAGCTGCAATTGTAGACACTGACTTTCCCAGTCTTCCCTGCAGCTAGGGCCAGGCATGTGGCCCAGGGATGCACCTGTGACAGATTCAGACTCAAGAACCTGGGAGCTCTCTTTCATGTGGTAGCTGTGGTGACAGCACCCACACAAACCATTTCTGCTATAGAAGTGGCAACAATGCAAACTGTAGCAAATGGGACTCCGTGGCAACAACAGCAACAGCAGTTTCTTTACCAGATCAGTGCTGCAGAGTCACTATTACTGGGAAGCCTTGAGCTTTGCCCTCTAGCTTTCCAGTGGTTTTGGCAGCTTCTGATCCTTTTAAAACCCTCCTTTTTGGCTTAATTGGCCAAAGTCAGCTTTGGAACACCAGCTTATGCTGGACCAGTTTGCGCTAGATTCTTTCAAGTCTATTATCAGTTTTATCCAAAGGGCCCTGAGGTAGAAACTATTACTATCCTCTTTTAACCAGTGAAGAAACAGGATCAGAGTTGTTCCTTGCCTGAAGGTCACATAGCTAAGGGCCAGAGCTGAGACTTAGAGCCCTATAAGCTGACTCCAGGGCTCTTACATGTAATTTTTGTGCTTGGCTGCCTTTCACTCTGGCTGTTAGATCCAACAGAATGGCTGTCGATCACTTCTTGGCCTTTTGGCTTAGATAAAGTGTAGTGTTTGTTCTCATCAGAATAGCTGTCAAAATCTCTAGTGAGAGTCAAGTCAGGAATTGGCCAGAATAAGCTAGGTGGTGGGAAATGAGGTGTTGAGGAGACTTTCAACTGCCAAGTTCATGTCTGAGCCTGGCTGCCAAGTTCATGCTGTGCTCCACCTTACCTGCCCCTGTATATTTGGCAGGTTTTGGGCTCCATGGGAAGCCAAGGCCTTGGACAGGGCTGGAGGCTCATGCAAGCTTCGTGACCAGAGCTTTCCAGCCACCTTTGGAGCTCCATAGGTTCAAGATTACCCATTTCTCAAAGTAATTCTGGACAGAACATGTGTATGTAACGCCTCATGAATTCAGGACACCCTGCACTTATTGGATGGCTCATGCTGCTTTATTTCAGTGGAAGGTGGTTTCTTTCTCATAAACCAATAGTTTATCACCTACTTCTGGGTGGTCTTGTTAGCTTTTTTTGTTAGTTTGTGATGTTTCTTAACATCAGTGTGTGCTAGTGACATTATTGCCTTTCCTCGTAACTCAGTCCCACTCTTTCTCTTCCATTTTTCCAGGGCGGCCTTCTGCCGCAGGAACCGTAGGGGATGAAGCTGAAGATCATGGAAAACACACTGATGAACACTGACTTACTAGAAATCAGGAAGAGCTACTGTTTGTTACCCCTCAACACTCTGATTTGATCTCTGTCTTAACAGTGTCTGTTAAATGACAAATGTGGAACATGGGAGACTAAAATGCTCCAATTTCCCAAAGCTAAAAGAGACTGTAATTATCAGAAACGTGATAGTATTGTCAAAAGTACACAACCTGCTATGGATTGTGAAATGCATAATGGTTTTATCTGTTCTAAGACTAAAAGATCACAAAATCTTCACCAGATAGAAAATAAAGAAAAACTATGGTATTGAACTGATCATGCTACACCTATGTTTACTGAGCACATTGTTTTTTTTTTTTTTTTAGATGAGGCAACCCTTGGTTGACCTCACAGATTATAAGGGCCTTGTCAGCTTATGATCCCTTATTTTTTACGCCTACAGCACCTGGTCTTCTTAGGTGGTCTCCCATCCAAGTACTAACCAGGCCCGATCCTGCTTAGCTTCCGAGATCAGACGCGATTGGGCATGTTCAGGGTGGCATGGCCATAGAGACATTGTGTTTTATGTGCATTATTTACAGTCCTCATAAGTCGGCACTTAGAAATTATTAACCTCGCTTTACAGGTAAGAAACATTCGCTCAGAAAGATTAAGTGACTTGCCTAGGGTCACCGGCTGGTATAAGGCACAGGAATCAAACTTGGCAGCTGATTCTAAGACCCTTGCTCTTTCTACAACCTCCAACAGTGGAAGTGCTTCGGACAGGCACTCTTTTGGTCTTCTTAGCAAATGCTGACTGTACATCAGGCAGGATTCCCAAGACCTGTTCCAACACTCAAACGGCACTGCCTACTTTCC